CTTAGCTGAATACACTTAAAAAAAATTTTTTACCAACTCCAAGCTGATAAACTATAGTGTATTTGCAGTGATTCTGTAATCTATTCTAAATGGATCTGCAATGCAGGATACAATACTTTTATATTTGAATAATGACCAGAAATCTAATTCTAACCACTTGCAGTATAATGTATGTATTTTGTGTGGCCGTGTGTGCTGTTAACCTGGCTTTTTCTGCTTTTCTTTTCTCTCCTCCCATCAGAACTCCAGGCACAATCCAGGTGAAAGGCTGAAAGGAATAAATACGATGAGTGACTTTTAAAGACTGAAAATGTAGTGGCTCAATTATGTCAATACAGAACAATAATTTAGCAAAAGTGCAATCCTCACTTTTAGAAGCTTCTGAAACATCTGAAAGCTCTGCAGGGCAAGCTGAAGGACAACCGGAAACAGATCCATGTTGGAAGGAAATAAAAAAGGGTACATATAAGTGGAATATGCTACAAGATAAATCAGAAAATGATGATGGTTTTCTATCATTTAATACAATACCTCTCTGGTTGGAACAATCAAAACAGCCAAAGGCCCGTCTGATCTCTGAAAAAATATTATACTTAATTTAAGGCATCAAAAGTTGATGCACATTAATGGTGCGTTAGCTATTTTATGGATAACATTACTTCTGACTCAAAATTAATTTTATCAATTTATTTGAATGTTTATTATAATACAATACATCGTTGAATGTCTGACTGCTAATGATCCCAATTTCTCCACACATAATCAATAAATGACAACCATTTAAAATAAAAATATAAATGAAAAAAAAGTACTACTTTAAGCCAACTATAAATGAGTAAAACATATTGAACAAAATGATTATGTGATCAGTCTGTAAAGTCTTGATATTGAGTGTGTTGTTTTAGACATTTAGGCTGACTTGCCTTTACTTTAGGCTGCATCGCTTGTAAGAACTGAACCACTGGAATTCCATAAGCCAATGTTTTTCCTGCAGGAAGAATGTAAGAAAAAATATGAATAATCACATCTTTTAAAGTTTTGTTTTTGTTCATTCTTCTTTCTTTGCAACATCTAACTTAAACACTCTAGCGATGTCTATATTTAACATATTAGAATGACTACTACATAATGATTTTTTGTAAACAATATAAATACCAATCTGACCATTCAAAATTGTATTTACATGAAACATGGCAGGAAACCAACCTGATCCAGTCTGGGAGCGCACGACAGCATCTTTACCAGACATCAACACTGGTATGGTTTTCTTCTGGACACTAAAAACACAGATGAACATGAGAAAAATGTAAAGAGGTGGACAATAAAAGGTAAGACGAAGCTACAGTACCTCGTCATGCTGGTCACATTCAACACCTTATGGAGCGTCGCCACCTGTAAAACGGTTTAGATGAGGAGAGAAATGTATGACTAAAGACAGCAGAAGCGATTTAGTTGTGAGATTTGTTAAGCGATATTGAGGTTTGTGCCTACCAGATGAGGATGCAGATTGAGTTCTTCAAACATGCTGCTGGTGAAGACTTTCTCCTTTACTTGATTTACAGCAGGACTGGGAGAAAAAAAAGGACAAGTAAATTGCACGTAAATGTCAATTTTGAGAAAGACCCCAGTCCATTCACACAAGCTCAAATGTGTTGCATCTACCTGAGGACATCAGGGATCTCTGGGTTGTTTCTGAAGAGAGACGATGTCTTGATAAATGGTCTGCCATGGTCTCCATGCTCTTCGGGAGCTTTCTTTGGAAATGTTTTCACCTTTGATGGGGACTTTGCGGGAGAGTTTTCTCCCCGGTCCGCGTTCTCCTCTGTGTCTCTATTATTACTCCTCTGAGGGGGGCTTCTGGGGGTTTGCGGCTTTTGCGTATGTGTGTGCTGTTGACCAGTTTGATTAATCTTCCTCTGTTTGGAAGCGCTGCTCTCCTGGGACTCAAAGACAGCCTTCCTCTTTGATTCTCGCTTTTTCTTTAACATCAACACAAAAGGTACAGCACTTTAGAATCAGGCTGAAAGAAACTTGTGTAAACCAGAGTAACGTTACATCAGTGTGTAATGAAAATGACAGCAACAACACAGGGAGCAGGACTGACTCACCTGTGCCCATTTCTCTGCTGTTGACAGAGGTCTTCGATTTGTCTTTTTGTGAAACGTTACCGGAGCTGAGGAGATGTTGAGCATCAGCACGTCCTCAGCCATGACAGTAAGCAGGCTATAAACGCCTATTAAAACAGGTGCTGTAGTAGCTAAATAACTATACCTTACTTCACTCGCACAGACACGTCAGACTACTCATAAGATGATAAATGGCTCATTATCCTTCGTTTGAATGGCGGAAATGTATGTTTTACAAGTGATATTCACTTTAAAACCGTAAAAACACAGCACAAACAGCTGTACATATATGAGGTGAAGTTCCACACGTGTTTTTGCTCCGTCCACCACAACGTGAGGGAATTTCCGGGTAGGCCGTTACCAAAATAAAAGTCCCGTCGCTTTTTTGGCGACTCGAAGGTCATTGAAGGCATCTTATTTGAGATATAGTATATATAGTAATATGTTCTGCTGCTAATTATGTGCAGTTGCTTGTTTTTGAAAGTGTAAACATTTTCAATAACTGTTTTCTTTAATACAAAATGTTTACACCTTAATTAATATAATATGAAATCACATTTTTTAAAAGTTGTTGAGGAGAAACATTATTGATTTTGTGTTTTAGCATTTTAATTAAGTTGGATTATTTTTATATAATTTAATTTCAATTAGTGTAAATCATCCTGCTGCACCCTTAGAAGTTTGCTTAGAACAATTAAAATATTATAAGATACACATTGCAGCCCTTTGATACCATAACCCTAATCAAATTATGTTTTTTATTAAAATTCTCATTGTTTTCTCTTTTTTCTACTTTTCTTCAAGCTTATTCTTAATTAATACAGAGTATTAGGACAATACTTTCTTGTATTTAGATTTAGATTTCAGTGGAGTAAGAACTCCATGTCATCTGCAAAAGATACGTTTTGTTATATTGTATACATTTTATGGCATAAAGATGTTGTGAGGCCTTTTAAAGGGATAGTCCACCCAAAATGACCTATGAAAATTCTGTCATCATTTATTAATATAATTTCAAACCTGCATGACTGACTTTCTGTGGAACACAAATAAAATATTTTGAAGAATGCTGGTAACCAAACAGTTTTGGGTCCCATTTGCTACCATTGTATTTTTGTCCATACAATGGAAGTCAACGGGAACCAAAATTGTTTGGTTACCAACATTCTGTATTCCAGAGAAGAGACAAAGTCATACAGGTTTTGAATGACATGAGCGTGAGCAAATGATGACAAGATTTTTATCTTTGGGTGATGTAGCGTCTGGACCAATCAAAAACACAATTTTTTATTTGATTTAACAAATCAGTTATTCATTAGATTAACAAGTCGTCACAGACCCCTCACCCAATAGACTGGGAGCCAGGATGTCTGGGAATGACCACAGGCCACTGGTTACCATGGCAACCACGACACCTTTGCTAGACCAGAGCCATTTACGACCTAATGGAATGTGAGTAGGGAAAATCACTGCCTTTGAATTAGAAAGAGACACAGTGCCCAGTAGAAATGGACTCTTTTCTAATTAATCCATAGGAAAACCTTTCTTTGAATGAACACACATATCCTTCAGGTCATTGTGTATGTTGTCTTTGAGATTTTATACTGTTTTATGCAGGCTTATGATGGAAACACTCATTCCTGTCATCTTGCCTATATGTAATCCTACCATGTTTAGTATCTATGAATTCGCCTTCTGATGATCTAAACGAGCGTGTATATTATATATATTAGTATTCTGAGAATCTTTAGTAATTTCAATTCAAGTTCCATTTGCAAATTACCATGCCCTCACACAAGGTCATAAAAACTCCCCAGTATCTCAAAACTCCCACTTGGGATTCCGGCCTTTCTCATTGGACAAGCCCATCTTGAGAGGCGGGAATCTTCTCCGACCTTAAAGGCCTCACACCATGTGACCCGCCCAGAGTCGGTGGTTCGGTTGTATTCTGAGATGAAGTTATGATTAATTATTCATATTTCCCCATGAGCTGATTCGCTACAGTGAACTATCCCTTTAAGCACCTTTTCTCTCACATTGAATAATAATAATAATAATAATAAGCTTAAATATGAATGTTTCTAACATTATAAAAATCCCATATCTTTTTTTTCCTACATAGAACAGATTTGAAATAAAACCTTTGTTCAGAGTATAAACAGATTAGGGTGCTACAGAACCAAGGGAAGCTCAGGGAATACTTCCTCATTCAGACACATTTCATTTTTGTAGCCCCCTCTCCCTTTGGATATACACTGGCCCTCATGTTTACATATTCAGAGGAGATGCATATTCTGGACCTCATCTGCTGTAATTAAGTCAGAATCTGCCTGTCGTAGCACACTATCTGAGGGGAATTTAAAAATCAGCCTGTTAACATGTTCCTCTAACCAGTGTACTTAACTCCTTTCCCCCCAGTGGGAGTCATCCAGTGACCTCAAAGAAAGGAAGAGAGAAGGAGAGCGAATTTAATAATCAAAGCAGCATCGACTGGTTTCCTTAGCATAAGACCACTGAAGCGGGACTAATACTGCCCACCACAAAGGGTCTGGCCAGTCTGCTTTTTCTCGCTATGTTAATTAAACATACGTTGAATTAGCAGGTGCCATGCACTCCCATGAGTTCACAGACGGTCAGATGGCAAGAATGACTACATTGGTTGGGTAATGTATTTTTCCCATGAAGAATTTGGAGACATGGCAGCATTAATTAAAATATAAGATAAAAAATTATGACCAAGAAAAGATAACCGAGTCAAATTTATAAGTAATTTATTAAGTAGCCTATCAGACTTACGAAGTGAAGTGTACAAGATGAAATGAAAATTAAAACTAATATTTAATCCAACAACAAAAAAAATATTTTCGTGCCATCTCAGAAGTTTATGGCTTTCTTTCTTTTGTGGAACACAAATGGTGATTTCTAGAAAAACAATCCATCTCTGTGTATTCATATAATGCAAGTGGATGGGACCATCAAAGTTGATGCAAATCACATGAAACACCAGCGGATGAATCAATGTATTCTGAAGAAAAACAATAAGTGTGTGTATGTGTGAGAAAATATTAATATTTTAAACTTTTATATAAACATAAAACTATAAACCATTGCTGTCAACTACTGTCTTGCATCACCACTTGCATGAGTTTCACAATGGGCGTATGTCTTGCTTCACAACGTGCTAAAGTTTACATCAAAAGTAAACTCATGAACCTGCATTTGATAGTTGTCTAGAGTGGCCAGAAGCAATGGTTTATAGTATAAAAAGTTGAAAATATTACTATTCTTCTATTCACACACTTTTCATTTAATTTCAGAAGACACTGATTAATTCTCAAGGGTTGTATTGGATTACTGTCATGCTAATTTTGTGTGGATTTTGAAGCATCAGCTTTGAGGGTGCCATTCACTTGCATTATATGGACTCAGAGAGATGGATTATTTTTCTAAAAATCAATTATTTTGTTTAGCAGAACAAAGAAAGTCCTACACCTGGGATGGCATGAGAGTGAGTAGATGATGAGAGAAAATGTTTTTGGGTGGAGTAATAACAGTGTTTAGCGCTCAAATGTTACTCAGTAAGTCTGGACTTTAGGTAGTCGGCCTACTAGCCTACTCTCCAGTGATTCAAACACAGTGTGTGGGTCCTGGTCAGCGTTGATGTACACTGCCTGTGGGTAGATGGCCTGCAGGTCCGCTGCATGGTTCCAGTACTCCTTAAGCCTCTTTTGCAGCTGTGCCTCTGAATGCCGAGGGTTAAATCGAAGCCGGGACTGAACTTCCGGACCAGGAGCAGGTTTATATATGCTGTGATACCTGCAGAGTTTAAACACAACATTCAGAATGCAGATATGTGACCCTGGACCACAAAACCAGTTGTAAGTCACACGGGTGTATTTGTAGCAATAGCCAACAAAACATTGTACGGGTCAAAAATTATCGATTTTTCTTTTATGCCAAAAATCAATAGGATATTTAGTAAAAATCATGTTCCATTAAGATATTTTGTAAATTTCCAACCATAAACATATCAAAACTTAATTTTTGATTAGTAATATGTGTTGCTAAGGACTTCAGTTGGACAACTTTATAGGCCATTTTCTCAATATTTAGATTTTTTTTGCACCCTCAGATTCCAGATTTTCAAATAGTTGTATCAAATATTGTCCTATCCTAACAAACCATACATCAATGGAAAGCTTATTTATTCAGCTTTTCAGATGATGCAAAAATCTCAATTTAAAAAAATTGACCCTTATTACTGGTTTAGTGGAACCTAAAGGAAAGGATTCTTTACACACATTTACAATGCGCTAAGCAGATTCTTTCTCACCATTCTCCAGTCACAGGATCCAAACCCCTAAGTGTTACCCTCTCGATAGCAATGTCATCAGTCATCTCCAGGAAGAAGACCCTAGAGGGGAGAGAGGCAGAGATCATGTGGAAGTCTGTTATGATACCTGTGATCCTCTCAATTCGACCCGAGTAAAAAAAGTTGCTTGGTAAAGGTATTAAATGCCAAAGACATTAAAGGGTTAGTTCACCCAAAAATGAAAATTAGCCCATAAATTACTCACCCTCAAGTCATCCTAGGTGTATATGACTTTCTTCTTAGTTAAATAAAGTTAAATAAAAAGCGCCCATACATAAAAAAAAAAGTGTCTCACACGGCTCCGGGGGGTGAACAAAGGCCTCTTGTAGCGAATCGATGCGTTTTTGTAAGAAAAATATCCATATTCAAAGCGTAATAATCACTTTAATGTAGCTTGCGCCAACAGTTGTAAAGGGAAGCAGTTCAGGGCGGATGACGTATGAGGTCGGCTTTGCACATGCAGCGGAGACATCGAAACAAAACAACAGTCACTTATTAGAAGTACAAAACGAGGATTTGTAAAGAAGAATGTCGGAGGATTTCGATATAAGCCAAGAGGAGACTGGTTTTCCTTTGTTAAAGTAAGTAAACTTTTTACACCTAGGATGGACTTGAGGGTGAATAATTTATGGGCTAATTTTCATTTTTGGGTGAACAAACCCTTTAAAAGCGCCATTCAAAAACAATGAAAGAAAAACAATTAGGCTTGGGAACTTGTATTAAAAAATACACTGAATAGAGAAAGAGAGTGTGTTTGACCAGTGTAATCCAATAAATAAAAAAATAAAAAAAACATTCAGCATTTTGTCAGTCATTTTATGAAAATAAATGAATGAAATATGTTACCAAAAAATGGACAAAAGAGGGGTAAAAAGTAATTTAAATTCCACAAACATACAGTACAATTCTAAAGATTATGAAATTAATATTTTTATTCAGCAAGGATCAAAGCGTCAGTAAAGACATTTATAATGTTACAAAAGTTTTCAATTTTAAACAAATGCTATACTCTTCAGTTCTTCTAAAACTCTTGAAAAATATGCATCACAACAAAAGTAATAAGCCGTACAACTACTTTCAACAATGGTAATATAATAAGAAGTGTTTCTTAAGCACCAAATCAGCATATTAGAATGATTTCTGAAGCCCATGTGACACTGAAGATTGGAGAAATGGTTGTTGAAAATTTAGCTTTGCCATCACAGGAATAATTAAATTTTAAAATATAATTAAAAAAAGTTATTTAAAATTGTAATAATATTACTTTTACTACTGTATTTTTGGTCAAATAAATGTAGCCTTGTGGAGCATAAGACACTTTTTTAGAAAAACATTAAAACAAATCTTACTCACTTCAAACTTTTGAACTGTAGTGTAAATTTTGTTGAACCAGAATTGTAGCAGGAACTGTAACCATTAAACTCTTTACAATTCGCAAATTCAATTGTAAAAATGTCTGCAAAAATCACAACATGTCAAGCGAAAACCATATCAATCCATTATTCCATCATATGAAGACTTCATCTAGCATTCAGACAGGAATAATCATAATGCGCTGGTATTGGAGCTAAATAAATAATGAAGAAAATAATGGAAAACGGGGACACTCTCCAGGGCAACAAGAGGACTTCAACAGAGGAATGTTGGGGTCTCTACCCAGGGGTCATTATGTTTTGACATTGTTCAGACACAAAGTGGGCCTAATGGTGTGGTCAGGTGGGAGGGGTTTCAAATTTTTTTTATTTGAAAATCTGAGGGGTTAGGACATTCTTGCCCCAAATGATTTCATCCAGGCCTCCAGAGGATGGGAACCTCACAGCCTCTTCCACATTATTTAATTTTTAGCCACCTAAACATTTTACACAGACTGAGATTTTTGTGAAATGTAATTCTGGATCAATTCAGCTATAGATAAAGACCAATAGGAATTTTACATCATGAGGCCTTTTCCACAAAAAGGGGTGAGAATAGTAAGGAGAGATCTAAGTTGGTGCTTTGATAAAATATTTAAATGTCTTTGTGTTCCTGGCTCTCAGTACCACTGTGAACCACTGGGCCCTCTGAAATGGACAAAGGAGACATGGTGCTTTAACTGACTATTAGTCTGGACTGAAAATGAAAGATATTTGATGTGTTTAAGAGCCATGATAATGTGTGTGTATATGTGTGTCTGTGTGCGTAGGTTTAATTATTTCAGAAAAAGGCTTCTCTCAATTTTTAATGAATATTTGTCTTAAAAAAGAAATAATAACTACTCTGCAAAAGCTATTAGAATTAATATTTATGCTTCCTCATGAAATATTTATAAATGTGGAGGAGCAAAAGGATGGTGCGTTGTGTCTGAGGCAGGAGGATGGGAGGGTGGGGGCTTGTGTTCGTCTTCTCATTCTCCCACTTTTTATGTGGGGGGAGCTGTACAAGATGAATTGATTTACATTAGATGTTTCTTACATGACAGCTGGAGATCCTCTAACAAATGACTGACTAAAACAAGGCAGATAACAAGAGCCTGACAGTCTTCAGCTGCTACAAATGATCACGAACCGCGCAAGCATATCCTGCCATTAGTATATATACTGTATGTGGGTGTGTGTGTGCATTTCTATTCTTCCACTCGTATACGGTATACATTAAGTAGATGGTAACCTTTGACCCTTTTGTTCTTCAGTTTACTTGCTGAGCTGAAGTGATCCAAGAAGGTCACGGTCCATCCGATCTCTCCGAGCATTGCCGCTCCCGTCAGCCCTTCTGCCTCCCTTTCTATCTCTCCAAATTAAGAAATTAATGAGGGAAAGATTCTTTACAGGTGGCCACAGCAATGTTTACCACTGATTAAATTGTAATGCTCCCCCCTCTGTATAATTGATAAGCCAATCAGAGGAAGTGTTGCTTGATTTGATGGGGAGCAGACACATGAAAAACATTTAAGTAATAGAGAGCAAGAGCGCAGTGCAGGTGGAAAGAGAGAGAGAGAGAGAGAGAGCGCAAGGCAGGGACGAGAGCAGGTAATTGGGCCAGACTCTTAGATTACATGGCTAATTGCTCTTTTTTATCTACCTGTCACAGGTAGCCATGCATATTTCAAAGCTCCCAAAGACTCTGATTGTTTGCAAGCGTGTCAAGGCTGTAAGAGGCTGATGACTAGCCAAACTGGAGAGTAGTTAAAGACTGGTAGGAAGGGTGGGAGTGAGATCAGCGAAACAGAAGCAGTAACAGTGACCTGCTGTACAGTCCGAGAATGAACGTGCAAGAGGGGTTTGGACATGGGTCTTTAGAGAAGCTCATTTATTTTGTGAAACCTTTCATTTAATAGTCATTTAAAAGGGATAGTTCACTCGAAAATGAAAATTCTGTCATCACTATTGTGTTGTTCCAGTCCAAACTTCTATGACTTACTTTATTCAGTGGAATGCAAGAGATTAATTTTTGAAGAATATCATGGCCATTGTTTTCCATATAATGAAAATGAATGAGAGCTGTCAAACTATAAAATTACAAAGAAAGCACCATAAAAGTGGTCTATATGAGTTGTGATATATATTTCAAGTCTTTTGTAGTCAAACAATAGAGAGAACTTGAGAAGTGGATCAGTATGATTCATGAATGAATCACTGAAACCTGTTCATGAACCAGGGCAGATGTTAAGATTTACAAAAGATGACAAATTTCTGTTCCTTCTGTTTCACAAATCTATTGCACAGTTTCAGAGGTTTTGGAATATAGACCACAAGCTTTAAGAACTTTTATAATACTTTCATGGTACTTTTTTGTAATTTCACAATTATTATATGGAAAAGAGCACCCAGCATATTCACCTAAAAAGTTTCAAGAATTGTAATTAAAATTAAAATTATGTAAATAAAATATATAGAATTAAAATATGCTAAAACATGAAATGATGATAAAAACAATCTTGTTTTAATTCCCCACTCAACAACTTTTTAGTTTTTAAAAAGTTGCCCAATTTTAAAAGAGTAATTTCGAGACCTGGAAAAGTCATGCAAATGAACTACATCTTATAACTTTAATAATTAATATACATTTTTATAGGTATGTAAAGATCTGAAATATTTTATCATAAAAAGTGGGAGTTAAAAATCCTTTTTCAATAAATCACAAATGGCTGCAAAATCATGGGGCCTTCAAATAATGTTGTGGTCAATGTGGGGCCTTACACGTTGCTTTGGGGTTCATATTGTGCATAACATTAGATAATTCCTTCAGACTTCCTTCTAAATTGAAAGTGTCACACATCCAAAGCTACCTGTGACTGATCAGCTTTTGAAAGAGGATCAGATGATTGCACCATCAGAAACCAGAGCAAAGGCATCCTCATTTATCTGATGAGGGAACTTCATTAGCGAGCGACCTTTTTCCTTTTCTTCTTCTTTCGTCTTTCATGGATCAGGTAACTTCCTTTACATGACAATAGACGGAGCGCTAACTGGAACAGACAGCCACTACTTGAATCACCAGCCACTACAAAATATTCAGCAAGGCAAATAGGTCATTATTGTAAGTATATTTGAATAACACAAAGCCAAAGTACACTCTCAGAAAAAAAGGTACAAAGGCTGCCAAGGGGTGCTACCTCTTCAAAAGTTGCACCTTTGTACCTAAAGGGTACATAATGGTACCTTAAGGGTACATATTAGTACCTAAAAGGTACAAATGTGTACCTTTAGAAAAACTGCCGCCCCAGTGACGGCTTTTGTACCTTTTGTTTATAAATGTACAATAAATATGTGCCTACAAAAAAATAAGAATTAAAAAAATTAAGAATGTTATTATAATTTTTTTTAAACAAAGCTCTTAAAATAAGACTAACCACTGGGTTTTAATCCACTTTAACATATAATTAACTACACAAAGTTTGTCAATACAAGCTAAAGACTCTGGTGCCACATGAACAACATCATCTTGGCCCTTATTGCAGGCAATGACTCTCTGTTAATGGAGCCCTTTCAGGAAATGGGTAAAGGGATCCCTCCAATCTAACCAGTATGCCAACACTGCTGCACTCTGTCCCCTCTCCCTTCTGCCAGTGACACCTATTAAATGCCCATGCCCTGGCACGGCTCCAGGAGGAGCTGACTTATTCATCCTCACTAAAGCCTGGTAACCAGAGAGCTGTTAATTAATAAAGCTGTCAGGTACAGCGCCGCCATCGGGCCATCATCGGCCCATCGGAAACATTATCTCCCCATTGTTTCAGGGCCAGGCTAACCGCGGGCCTTCGAATCAATTACGCTAATGCTATGTAAATGAGGTCTCCTGCCATTACCCCAAACAACATGGGCTGTTAATGGAGGAAATAAGGTCTTGCTACACAGAAGTGGCGAGGGAAGCGGACACCTGCTTGCTTGCTAATCTCTGGGATCCAATCTTAACTCCAGAGAGCACATAAAATGGGGAATATGATGAAAAATCATAATGAGTAACAACAGAATACAAAACAGGCCCTATGGTGATCATTTTTCCTAATGTTATTGCACAGATTTGTGCTCCTGCTCTTGTTTCTGTGTCAAAGGAGACAGAATTGGGACACGGTTATTTTCACTGATGACCTAACCTCAAAGTGAGCTCTCTGATGAGGGGACACACACAGAGGACAGGTTGTATAATCTAAGTGCCATCAGATCCTCCAGGGCAGCTGAGTTAAGGGTAATCTGAGAGGGCAATCTGAGCTGTGTGGTTACACTCACTATTTAGGATACCTGAAGAGACACGAAAATCACAAATAATAATCCGAAAGATTCACATAGTGCAGTTCATTATCTCATTTGCTGAATTGTTTTTGTTTTTTAAACACCTACTCTATGTTTGTCACTGTGAAGGTCCTAGAACCCGTAAATGAATGGGAACACAGTGGATAGATAATCTATAGTTTGAAATCGATACAGGACAGAATTGAATGCAAACCGGTGGTTCTCAAAGTGTGGCGAACCTACAGCTCTCATATATAGTGCACTTCTGTACATGCAAATGCACCGTGCTTGCCTAGTTACATAATTCCTTGCCCATTGTAAACATTTTTGAAAGAAATTAATGTTTATTCAGCAAGGATGCATTAAAGTGTCACAGTAATTTTTATTGTTATTGTTAAATTCTAAAACATTTTGTTCTTTTCAACTTTCTTTTCATCAAATTATCCTCAAAAACTATATCATGGGTTCCACAAAAATATGAAGCAAAAAAAAAAAAAACTGAAACTGAAGACTGGATTAATGGCTGTTGAAAATTCAGCTTTGGCATAATAGGAATAAATTACATTTTTTAAATCTATTAAAATGAAAAACGGTTATTTTAAATAGTAATAATATTTCACAATGTTAAAATTTTTTGCTGTATTTTTTATCAAATGCAGCATAAGAGATTTGTCACAAAAATAATATTTTTTCAAAATAGCTTCTTTTGGAACAACATGAGGGTCAGTAAATTATCACACAAATCACAGAACTGGGTAATCTATCCAGTTATGCCAAAAATGCTAATAGCTAATAGTGAAGATGTTTTGTTTTTTTGTAGTTTCAGAGGGAGAAGGGAATGAGAAACCAACTGAGAACCATTGTTACAAATCACTGTGATAATAGTTTAGATCGCTGTATAGTCATATGCCTTCCACAGTTAAAGAGTTATACATGCTAAATTTCAACATTTACAGCTATTTAAATCAGTTTATAGTGACTGATATACCTGTTCGGTATGAAATTAGACTCTTGAAGTTCTTCTGCCTGCTCCACATCTTGAGGAAAGCCATGGAGCACCCAGCCTCGCGTGGTACAGTCCATCCTGCTCAGTCTCTCTGTAAGGATCCGCAGGACTATACTTGATGGCACTGTACGAATTAAACCACAAACACAGCGAAAATATGGTTATCACCTATTTATACCTTCTTCCTAATTACATGACAAAAGTACAACAATACAAAGAGTAGAAGAAATCTAATTAAGGCAAACAAAAAACTCAAAAATGTTGACGCAAGAGGTTCAGACTCCTGAGAATCAACTTGCTGTGTCCTTTGAATGACACTCATCCTATATACAGTAAACATGGTGTTCAGAGGGGGTTTACCCCATGAGATGCATACACAAACACACCTGCTTAGCATTTGTTTGAAATACTGTATATGTTTTTCCCTGTAGGACGTCAGATCACAGTGTTATAGATCTAACGTACGTGAGAAAGGCCTTTCACTTGTTTACTTCTTCCAGGTACTGGAAGAAGACTTTATGGAAAGAAGAAAAGAAACAGTATGAGAACTTTTTTAAGTATGAAAGATGCAGATATAGGATGCCGTTTTAAAGCTTTAAAGTACCAAATAAACAGTTAATTGAAGCTGATTTGAAAACACATGGGCACAAGCGGACAGAAACCTAAATTAATGTTTCATTTAAACTGAGGTGCAGGGCATCTAGAAAGCTGGAATGCCCCATTAAGAGGATTAAATTACGGAGATGGTCTGAGGAAAACCGAACCATCATCATCTCCATGCTAAGCATCAGTGATCTCATCATCAAGCGGAATTGTCAAGGACGTGCCTTTTGTTTGTATCTATCAAATCAAGGTGGTTTATTCAGATGTGAGGTGATAAATAATTAGTAGACACGGTGTCATCTAAATTCATGTATGTACAATTTGTCTTTTGAAGATATTTCACAGGTCTCTCTCATACTACAAAAGCAGTCAACGGCTGGCTGACAGGCAACATAAGCGAATTGTTTAAGGGGATGATGGCACCTCTTAAAACCGACGGAAAGCGCTGTAGAGGAGGGTGGTGTTCGTAATGCTGCGGGAAAATTAACGAGAGCGGCGGAGGACAAACAAATAATGAGGGTGAAGAGAAAATAGAACAGCATTCTTTAAGGAGCACAAGCTGGCACCCAGGGGGGTCCCCGCAGCTGGTGAAAAATTTAAGTCGACGGTTTCAAACTGTCCAATTTCCACATCAAACGCACACAGCCTCTTTGCCAATCTCTGCAGCCCTGCTTCAAACATCAGGCAGCCTGGAGAGGCTTCCTCTTCTTTCTTTCTTTCCTCTCCTTCTTCACTTCTGCTAAGACTAAGAATTTTTTGGTTTGCTTAATAATCCGGCTTCTCAAATCCCAGAAGCACTGTACTGGTTACACTAGCCACCATCTCTCCATCACCTAATTATACCCCTGTGAGGCTATTAATCAACTTGTAAATTATTTAGGCAAGCTCTCGGCCTCAAATCCTCACTGTCATAGGAAAAGGGGGAGAGAGGCAAAGGAGAGAGAGAGAAGGCACAAAAATCCCCCTCTCCCAAGATACCGCAGCCCTGTTCAACAAGGCAATGGAATACGAGCTAACAAAACATTTACATAGCATTTCTTATGCACACATTGCTACTTCAACAAACACGCAACATGAATTTATGAATATATGTTGCACGTGACACATACTGCTAGCGCTGAAAAGATACTTAACATGCTCTGACAGATCCGACAATCATATTGGGTGTTCATGTGTACTCATCAGAGATTATAAACAAACCTAAGTTGAGTCCACTCTAAAGAATTCTGCATGAGCCATAATAGATTTTATTCCTACAATATTCCATATAGTAAAATCAATATGATTTGGTAGCACTTTATAATAACTTTCATTAATAAATCACAAACATTTCATCGTACTTAACAGAGAGTTCATGTACAAATCTGAATATTTCAGAAATGTGTATCAATACATCTGTTTCATGATGTATAAATATTTCAATGGACAAGAACTAATAATCTGTTGTAATAATGTTATCCAAAAACTTCAAAAAGTATAATATAATATAACAAAACAATAATATATAATAATTATACATCAGCGCAGTTTTTTTCCTGTAAAATTCTGAAATTTTTCCTATATAAATCTGCTTTGAAACAATCTGCATTGTATAATGGGCTATCTAAATGAATGCAATATTATATTATATTATTATACAAGCTTTTAGTTCAGGGCAAGATTTTTCTTGTATGTACGATGCAACTGGTAAAATGATGTCTGGCTGACAAGTAGGAGTTCAGGTTCAAGCCTATTTAAATGAATAGTTCACCAAAAACTTAAAATTCAGTTATCATTTAATCACCTTTATTTCATGCCAAACTTACATGAGTTTATATACTGTATATACTTACTCTTTTTGCTATGAAACACAAAAGAGAAAATATTTTTAAATAGTTTTTTTCTTACAATAAAATCTAATGTTGTTTCAACCCCACTGACTTTCTAAATATCTTCTTTTGTGTTACACAGAAGAAAGAAGTTCAGGTTTGTACACGAGCATAGGGTGAGTAAAAGACAATGTTATTTTTGGTTGAACTACTGATTTACAGCTAAGAATGTGAATTGTAAAACAATGAGATGACATGTAGCTCTTTTAAATGATGCAAGTTTGAATCTGGAATTTATAAATGAATGAAAACTTGCTCAAGGCAAGTGGCTCGGGCAGTGATTGGCAGTCCCAGCGGCTGAATGCATTCTCTGAGGGGCGGGACTATACATATATATATATTTACTTATGGTCTCGAAGGGATTTAGAACAGGAAAGTGTTGGGCAGACACAGAGTGTGTGAGATGGGAAGGGAATAACAATGATGAGGATGAATGAAAGGTCACAGATAGTCAAGACATCTAGACCATTATGGTGTGTTCAAAATATAAAAGTACTGGTTGTCTACAGTAAAAACCTAAGAGGCCAGCAAGCACTGTGATTCTGATTAAAAGTAACAAAACAGTTTGCAGAATTATATGCTGCAAATTATAAGATTATCATTTAGAATGCAGTTACCATAAACTAATGTCATATATGTGAATATAGCACAACATGTTCACCGACCAGACTGTTCTGGCTGTAAGGGGTCCAATTATCTGGTCAAAAGCAGGAAACAGAACTCTGCAGCTTACAGACTGGGGTTTCACTTATTCTGTATGATTGACCCATTTGGCAGTAGGTATAGAGGAGGTGAGGAGGCATACCTTGCTGTTCTGACTCCAGGTAGGGTTTAATGAGCTCCCCCATATGGCTCTCATCAGCTGACACAGCCTTCAGAAGCTCACCACAACAAACTACAGCGACAGAGATATAAGAAAGAACAGAAGAAAGTTTAAAATAAACAACATAAAACTATGGATGCTGTACAATGATTCAATCATTGGTTATTATTTACTCTTTCTCATGTTGTTCTAAACCCTTATGCTGTTACTTTGCATGATTTTTTTGTGTCGTTTTGAAGCTTGACAGCACCTGATCACAATAAACAGTCATTGTATGGCAAGAGCTACGTAATTATCCTTTAAAAATATATACTTTTGTGTTCCATAGAAAAAAATAACAGCATAGTTGTTTGAAACTACATGAGAATAAGTAATGATCTTACAGAATTTTACATTTTAGCTAAAGTACCCTTTTAACAATGTTGAACCTTGCAGATAAGAAAACGTACAGATGGAAAAGTGACAGCAGAAGTTGAGGAGGAGCTTACTGTTGACAATGCCATATTTCTGAGCAATCAGTTTTGCCTGAAGACTCTTCCCTGAACCTGGGGGTCCAAACAGTAGGATTCTGGGAGTGAAGGGTGAGGCAGACTGACGTGGAGTACAGACATAGTTCAGCACTGTAATATAAATACAAAACAATCAAATGAACGCTACATGATATGTAACAGCGCAAAATAAATGGGTGGCCAAAATGTTTAGATAAATAGACTTTCAGTGAATGAAAGACAACATGTCAAGCAAATAAATGAGAATAAACACTAAATATCTATTATTAACAAATGCATTAAAGGTACACTAACGTTCATCACTGCTCTTATGCTTATCACTGCTCTATTTATGCAGTCAGCTCTATTAATACAGTAAAAACAGTAATATTGTGAAATATTATTACAGTTCCAAATAGCTGTACTACCATAATATATTTTAAAATATAATTTATTCCAGTGATGGCAAAAATACTTTTTTTTTCTGCAGCCATTAAACCAGCCTTCCATATGCTGATTTTGTGCACAGGAAACATTTCTTATCATTTTAAATGTTGAACACAGTTGTGCTGCTTAACATTTTTGTGGATTTTTTTTTCAGGATTCTTTCGTTCAACCAAACACAGATTAAATATAATTAAATTTTCTCTAACCCTGTGGTGACTGTTTAGTACCGTATCATACTTTAAAGGGGTCATATGATGTTGCTAAAAAGAACATTATTTTGAGTATTTAGTGTAATGAAATGTGTTTATGCGGTTTAAGGTTCAAAAAACACATTATTTTCCACATACTGTACATTATTGTTTCTCCTCTATGCCCTTCCTTTCTGAAACGCACCGATTTTTACAAAGCTCATCGGTCTGAAAAGCGAGGTGTGCTCTGATTGGCCAGCTATCCAGTGCGTTGTGACTGGCCGAATACCTCAAGCGTGTGACGTGTTACGAATTTTATATGAATAATTCATATAAATTGCTGCCCTGTACCAGTCTAAATAATGAATGTATAAATTGTTTTATGAATAAGGAGTAAAACTGGCCCATATGGGGTCTCATGCAGGGAGGCAAATGGAGGGTTAAATCCATAAAATCCTTGAAAATGTGCCTAATTCTCCAGCTCCTTTCCACACTTCTCACTTAGCAATAAAAATAACATAAGAAGAAAGGAAACCGCATGCATATCATTCATTAGCTACAAATCCATAAAAAAAATCCTCCTCTCTAATAGTCTCCTAAATCCCAAGGCTTGCTGTGCAATGGTGCTGTAAAATAAAGAACAGTCAAAGAACCATCTCCCAAAAGTGCTTGTTAGGGGCCAACTTATTACTGCAGCGAATAATCTTAAAATAAATAAATATATGCAACAAACATTTATAGATCTAAGTATTATCAGAGGAGCTGTGGGTTTTTGCTGCCGAGTTTCGAGCGTCTGTTTGATATCAGCCTTTGTTTTTTTAGGCTTTGATCTTTAACTGCAAACCTATCCTTTGCTTCACCTGATCTCAGCGCACAAGTTTCCTCCCACTTACTTTCCCATTAAGCATTTGATTGCCTCTGTGGCTGGGAAGCCCATGAGCAGGGCCTGACTCACAGATTGATCGAAAGGCCTCTAGCCTACACAATCTAACTGCCATGAATATAGGAAAAATACCGGGTGGATGTTAAGCAAACCACAGGCTCTTGAATTACAAATGTCAGTACACTCTTAAAAATAAAGGTTCTTTATATTGGCATCTTTTATTCTATGAAGAACCTTAAACATTAGCAATTCTAGAATAAGATGCTGAAATAATATTTATTACAGAACACACAGACATAATCTGAGGATTATATACAAATATGCAACTGTAGACATTCAGAGGTTTGACAAGCAGACCGACAGGTAGAGTCCAAACTTGCTTCAGTAAAACTTCTGTACACACATACACGCTCTCTGCACACATTAACTCCCGCACAGACATACATCTGAACACAGAGCCCCACTGCGACTTGTTTCATTCCGTTTCATCCCCACATCAAAAGAGGCTGTGGTACTGTAGCAGTGGGCTCAGACAGGGACCCCAGGACTGGAACATCTGCAGTGAGGCCAACTATCACAGGAGGGACATGCGTGGAGCAGATGTCACCAGCCAGCCCAACAGCAGGCAAGGCAGGGGAGCAGAAGCGGCGCCCTGACATGTCACTCACAGACCCCGACACGCAGCTCCCCCACACAATAGGCCGACAATATTGCAGCATGCGTGGCTGCAAAACACTCCACTTGACTTTTACAATTAGATCTCAATTAGTTGTTCACTTAGCTGTTAACCACTGATTATGTGGTTATTTTATATTTTGTGCTAGTTTTTTAAATAAAAAATAAAATTAAATGAAATTAAATGCCAAAGAATGCAACAGAAGCCAGGTCTCATGATTTTTTTTTTAAATATTGAAATTCTTTTAATTTGATATGGCATCTCAAATGCAGCGCGCAGTGAAAAATACTGGAAAACCAAGACACATCAGTTATGGCTTCAGAAAATTCAGCTTTGCCATCACAGGAATAAATGCATATTAAAATATATTAAAATAGAAAACAGTCATTTAAAATTGTAATAATATTTCAAAATATGTTTTGATCAAATAAACGCAGCCTTAGGGAGCATAAGACATTTTTTAAAATTCTTACCGACCCCAAACTTTGGAAATTGCCTGAATTCTTTTATTGTTGCTGTTTAACTAAATCAGATTATTATATTTTTTAAAAATGTCAGGTAAAACAGGTCCGTAAAGTATTATCTGCATTGTGTGTTCTCAAAAAGTTTCAATATCATTTCATTCGCAAACTTTCCTTCAGATTACTCCTTTCTCCCTCAAAATAGAATTACAGACGCTATGCAAATTCAAACAGCATAACTTTATTTGGAGGCCTCATTAGGGATCCAGATGACTGTGACATGCGCCCCATGATCTTTCTTTCTTTCTTTCCTTCCTTCTTTTTTTTCTAATTTACTTTAGGGTCCATCTTTTTTTCCAGGACTGAAAGGCACTCATTAAATTGACATTTTACTTTAAATCACTATTCATTACCTATGCTCCCTCTCTTTATTTTCCACAAGTCTAAAGTTTTACAAACAGCAGCCTCATGAGAGTACGAGAGAGCGAGGGAGAAAGAATTAAGACAGCTTGAGAAGCAGTGACAGGCAGAGATGAACTAGATGACCTAGATTAGGCATGATTAACATTCATTGTTGCTTAATTTGGAAAAACAGGTAGACAAGCTCACACACACGTAGGCATCCGTGGCAGAGCAATTAAGCTTAGCTGTCTAGGCTCCAGTGGTGATGTGACATGTCAATCATTCCATTCTTTGGCCCATTTAAGTGTGCGCGAAGCTAGAGATCATGAGATGAAGGCTCCTCATGGTGAGCCAGAGATGCTTTGTCAGGTGTCTAAATCTACAGAGGAAAAACTCTACCTCAATCCTCCGCTCATATACGGATCAGAAAAATAATTAAATAACCTGATAAATACTATCAGACAGTTTGCCTGAAGGGATAAACATCCATTACTAGATTCAAAGCAGTCGCTAATCACAAACTACTGAGATTAAAAGGTGAAAGTTAAAGGATGCCAAGCGAAAAAACTTTCGCAATGGGATTCTTGGCTGAGTAAAGCCATTTGCGGAGTTTAGTGAGGAATAAAAGGAGATGCTGTTTGGAGTCAGACGATTTACATATTCCTCCGTGCGGCCGCACAGAAGAAACTGACACTTCAGAGAAAGACACAATCAGGGAGACCGTGATTGATTGTGTGATTTGATGGAGAGATGAAAGGAGGAATCAAAAGGGTGCGAGATCTGAGAGTGTACATGAACGGACACCTCAGCGGTGAGGCTCTTAAGTGGCATTAGTACTGAGATCACATGTAACTGGCAGCCGGTGAGGGGCCCGCTGGTGATGAAAGCTTTCCTCAGAGAACTCTCACCAGCAGTCTTGCATTCCCCGAGACCCATCCCAGCAGTCCTCAAGGGAGGCGGAGAAACACACGTCTAATTATTTATCATAGAAGGTTGAGTGTAAATAAAGAGAAAATATGACAAATTATTTGGGCATCGCGCTTGTAAAAATAAACACAGTTCAAAACGCGGAGGTTACGTGCAAGTTCACGATGAAAATGTTTCTCTCACTTTCTTTTTTTCCCACATTTTAGACAATTTGAGTCAAACGCTCAGTGTTAATTTTTCTAAATTAATTACAAAAGAAATAAAACAAAAAACAAGTCCTTACCCGTCGAACACAGTCTAGTTTTGACAGGCGTTGCTGAATCAACTGTCTCCAGTGGTCTTTAGGGATCTTCTATCACACCAACAAAAAAATGTGAGTAAATGTTTTATTCAAATTCAATTATTAAGAATTTTTTAAAAATAATTTGTCTAAATCAGATCCTATATATTAATATAATGTTAGACCAACATCAACAAATCAGTAAAGTCAGAGAGTAAATGTTAAAAATGTTTTGAAATAATTTAATAACAAAAATGTAATGAATAATTAATAACAATTGTCAAAAGTCAAACAGGAATATAAACCAACTGACCCGTCATTCGTGTGCTTCTAACACGACCATCTAAACCTACCTGAGATATATCTGTTCTATAGTAAATGACTGTCAGTGTCCACCAAAACAATACAATTATTATTAAACAAATACATTCAAATACGCTGTTGAATCTCTAATTACTTATGACATCCTCTGCTGCTTTCATCTCACTCTCCTTTGTGAATTTTGTGAAAATTATAATAATTGGAATCTTTTGGATCGTTCTATTTTAAACTCAAGGCCACGGCGAGTTTAAGTGAGAGGATAATTAGAATAATTAAACCATTGGGAGGCACTTTTCCTAAGCACATCTCTCTCTTTTCTTCTAATTCTACTCAACTCTGTTGATTTATCGACTAACTAGCCTGCACTGCATTTGCATGATCAGACTTCAGACAAAATCAGTTCTATGTCTTTACAATACCACAGAGACAACAATTACTGGCATCCAGAGAGTGTAGCAAATGCTGACAACATTACCTTTCCTACTTATACATCTAAAATGAATATCATGATCAAGCCATTCCAGACTACTTTTCCTTGAAGATACTTTGCCATTACGCAGTAACATGTTGTACACACAAGCTTACAAACAGATCCCCTCTTCTAGGCCCCCTAAAAAGGCAACTGTATTCATAACAGTCTATGGTAAACCTTATAGAAGTATATGTGTTTTCAAGAGAAAGGACAAAGACTGAGAAAGAGAGACCCCACCTGCTTTTTGTCTCGGTCCTGCTGTGCAGCTCTGCTTAAGTCACTGTCATCATTTAAGATATCGCTTAAAGTTACGTGAATAGCCTGTGTGTGCTCACACAACTTTTTAGCCTGCGACAAGACAAAAGAGGACAATCTGCAGCACCATATAAAATGACAGAAATGAAAATACTCTGAACAGATAATGCTGTACAGATGACTGAAGCAGTATTGCGATCTCTGAGGCCTGACGCTGTCACTATAGTGAATATCAGATTGAAATGTAAGTCGCATTGTCATGACAGGTGTATTTATAAATACATTTGAAAACTGAAACACAAAACAATCAAATATAATGTATGCAGAGTTATTTACAGGAAAAAAAAAGACATACACGAGTAAAGTATACACTAGAACAGTTCAACTGTAACAAAGTTTAAATTGCAGAAATTAATTGAACTACTACTGAAAATAGGCACTTACTATGGTTCTCTTCCCGGACGCTGGAGGACCTAACAATATAATTCTTGGCACTGGAACAAATATATTAGTTAAAATTAATGAAATGCCCCCAATACATTACTGATGCAAGGCAACATTATAGTTAGTTAAATCTAATAATGTATTTCTAGTTGATATCAAAAAGCTGGCAGTTAGCATCATTCCACAATGATGTTAAACTGGATTTTATCTGAACAATGTTAATAAATGAGTTGGAAATGTACAGCTCCTTGAACTTTACATTACGCTTTTTATTTGATATTATGTACGACTGCGCCATCTTGTGTTAAAGAATGTATTATTATAAGAATGAATTACCTTAATACTACCTAATTTAAATAATAATTAAACTAAAATAGTAAGGATTTATCAATAGTGCAAATACAGAAAAAAACCTTACCAACACTGTCCCTTTTCAAGAAGTTAATCAGGTGTTGAATGGGGTCCTCTGGTTTGTCCACCATCAAATTTCTCACTAGTGTCTGCAAATGTATCATTTATTTGATTTAAATTGCCTTCATAAACTTGTTAAACATTGTCTAGTTAAATGTCTATACCTGGACCAGGTGAAATATGTCATGTTTCTCTGCATAAATGGCCATTTCAGGTGGGATTCTGAGGGGCCGTATCGTCGCATCCATCACTGAAGAACACCACTCGACAGAGAGCTCACCAAAGACTTGGACATCTGTAAATAACTGTACAAATGTGAATTAGTTCACAAAGGGAGAACTTCAAACTAATAAAACACATAAAATAGTCTTTTATGAGACTAAACGTGTACAAAGCGGGAAAAGACTCTTGAACTTATGCAAACAGAAGGAGGTTTCTGAGGCAAAGATGATACAAAATACCAGTAACGTTAAACAAACGACGTTTTCGGATTGTCCTTTCAAACAGAACAAATGACGGAAATTAACGTACATAGGGGAAATTTGATGAATGTAACGGGAACCACCTAGTTACTTGATTAAAAAGGTGAGTTAAAATTAAGAAATATTATATTTAATGTTACCTTGGCTTGAAACGTTGCTGTTGCTAGTTTGCTGTGCGCATGCGTTTGTTGTTACTAGTTGTTGCCAATGGTAACTTGCTCAGCCAATCACCATCACCACCACCACCAGAGAGAGCACAAGTATCATACTCTTGTTACTGAGCAACGCAAATTCAATTACACAGAAACAGTAGCGACTCTGCGGAAATTTGATATGCCGTTATAACACGTACTAATACAGGTAAGTTCTAATATTACATGTAATGAATACTATTTCTTTTTACAATATGATCTTCTTTATAATAAAATTCTTCACTGCATAAGTTCTTATTCTGCACTGCACTGCTGTATCCATTTTAAACAGCTTAACTACTCAAACTGAGATGGCTGACGTCAGAGAGCAGCTACTTTCCACTGAGCAGAAGAATAAACTTTTCAAACAACAGCAGTTTATATTTATAACGGCTCTTGAGCGCTCGAGGGAGCAAGCCAGGGACAAAACTGAGCCCGTCTCCACCGTGACACAGGTGATGATTTATTCACACTTTCCACAGTAATCACACTTTACGGTGTTATGGTCAAATATTCTTATAATTACTTAAAGCGTCTGCTAAATGTAAATGTAAAATTACACAATAAATACACTATTGTTCTACAAGTTTGGGACGGTAAGATTTTTTTTAATGTTTTGGAAAAAGGTCTTATGCTCAACAAGGCTGCTTTTATTTCATAAAAATACAGAAAAACAGTAATTACATATTATTACAATTTAAAGTAATTCTTTGCAATTTTGGGATATTTTAAATGTAATTCATTCCTGTGGTGGTGATGGCAGGCTGTTTAAAGCAGCCAATACTCCAGTCTTCAGTGTCACAAGCTTCCGCAGAAATCTTTTTAACATGCTAAATTGGAACTCAAAAACATTTCCTACTATTAATAATGTAGAAAGCAGCTATGTAATGTAGATAAATACAAGAATTATATATATATATAAAAAAACTTTTAAGGCCCGTTCACACCACAACTATAACGATAACGATACAGAGGACGATATCGTTGTGATCACTTTCAAAACGATTTTTTTTCCAGCTGATGAACGATAAAACACTGACAGCCAATCAGAATCCATCCTGCTGTAACGCGCTCAAGAATTTAAAGCGGCAGACGCGCATGCGCTTAGAATAAACAGACGATATCGTTCGCTGGTGTGGACGCTAATATCGTTATCTTTATAGTTATCGTTCTTGGTGTGAACGGGGCTTTACTGACCCCAAACTTTCAAACAGTAGTGTTTAATAATAACAATAGTTCCTATTACTTGTTTCGCTTCTGTTTCAGTTTTTATAACCATATCTTACTATGTGTAAGTAAGTTTGCATGTGTGTTTGGCAGTGTTATTTTTTAGGATTACTGATAAACTACTGTCATTTGATTTGTATTATTTGTATATGTTATTTATTTTAATTTTAGTTAAATTATGTCTGAATTTATGATGTCTGTATAGGTATTTTATTAAGTTTTTAGTTTTAGTAACAAACTAAATGGAAATAATATATATATTGAAGTGGTTGTACATATACACATGTAGTTGTTTTTTGGTGTTTGGCTTAGTGTTATGTTAGAATCATTATTATACTCTCATAGCTTTTGTTCTTTAATATTTTTTGTTTTTCATTTAAATGTTAAGTTTTGAAATTTTGTTGTATGCATTTGTCATTTTTATTTAATCTCTTCATTTTTTAAATGTGTATAGGTAGTATTTATAAAGTTTTAGCTTTTAGTTTTGGATCTGTTTTTAGTTGTTTTAATACTACAATTGGTTGCTTCTGTTGTCCTCATTTGTAAGTCGCTTTGGATAAAAGCATCTGATAAAATGACTAAAATAAATAAACAGTGTATGTGTACTTATAAGTTCCACATATTATTGCTAACTAGTTGCACTAAATACATACTAATGTAATTACACAGACTATAACACTGATCTTTATAATGATGTTCCTCTGTAGGTCCAAAGGTACATGAATCACCACTGCAGCAATTCCACAGACAGACGCATCTTCTTGCTCTTTTTGGAAATTATTTCTGATCTTGAAGGTGTTTTAAAACATTTGGAGTCTTCACTGTCAAGCAAAAACACTTCTAGTGAGGGCCTGAACACTTGCAGGGAGATCCTGAGCCCCAACAGCAACATCAGTCAGCTAAGAGCACAGTTAAGTGACAGGAAAATCACACTAGTTATTTACATTTATATTTAAATTATCCAGCATAAGGATGCTATAGTTTATTTTGCATATTGATTGAAATCACATGGTAATGAACCTCAGTTGATGTTTTTTTTCCTACTTCATAGCTATCCACACAATGAGATCAACCGGCTAAGCTGTGATGAAGCAAGAAATTTCTATGGTGGGATTGTGAGTGTGATTCCACTGGCTCTAGACCTCCTCAACACCTACAGCAGAGGAGGTGCTCAACGTGTCACTCCAACAGCTACAGAAACATCTCAACAAACGGTTGCAAAAAATGCAGAGATGGTTGAAGGCCTTGATAAAGACACCAGTAACAAACCGAGTAGATATAAAAAAGGTGCAGGTGGCTGGCATGCTGGAAAACCAGCCTGGAAGCCACCAGGAAATACAAGGAGATAAAACACTTCTTCAGCACTTATGCATGTATTGCAGTGAGCGGTCACACAAAGTATTATTAAATATACAAATACCATTTTAAAATCGATGACTATGACAAAAATATGCAAAACATATATTTTATTTTTTTTGTTGATCATAGCAAGTAGGACAACACAAATCTGTTTTCTCAAATTTAAAACAGTCTCTGGTTACCTGTTACACCCGTCACCGTCTGGTTGTACCATAGTTTAGATAACTTTCAACAAAAGACTTAAGGTGACGGACAGACTTCCTACTTTTTTTCAGTAAGGCATTTCGTGAAACAACAAAATGTTTGAGAGGGCTATTGGTATAAAAACAGAAAATAAAGTCTGAGTGACAGGGAAACGAAGCACAAGCTATAAGACCACACTCGTAGTGAACTGTGATAAGAACAGTCTAAACAGAAAGAAAAACAGCAGTGATTTCCATAGATTTCAATTCTCATTGTAAACTCTCTGAGCCATTTACCCAGCTGGCAGGCTGAAGCCAGCATTTTATTTTCTTTGCACTTCACATATTTCAATAATATCCTGCACTGAAAACAAACCCTTGGGGCAAGTTTTTTTTTTTTTGAAAGAGACAAGTATATTGCTCTGCTAAGGTTCAGCAATCTTAAGAAGGCATGAATTAAAAAAAAAAAAGCAGTGCTTTTACTTCAGCCAGCTGCAGCCCATTATAAGAAGCCTTTTCTTCGCAGATGGGGTATGACCTGTGTAAGACAAAAATTAAAGAATATAATAGAGGGACATAAGCCTTCTGGCTTATAGCGAGCAGCTTCCTTTCAGAGTTTAGTGTGTCAAAGTATTGCAGTGGCCGTATTTTGTACGCTATTAACACAAGAGCATTCACCCATCAGACACATCTTAGACCAAAAAGATAATTCTCGTTGCACAACAGGTCTCAACTGGACAAATGCACCTACAGCAGCCTGGCCTGTGTTCTATACGGCTCTGACGGTCCTGCAAAGCAGCAATCTAAACCGGTTTATTTTTCCCATCACCACTCATACCTTTGATCTGGCATGAAGTGTTAGCTAAGAAGTATTGCACTGGTGACTGGGCGCTACAATCCCAGTGGAGAACTTGATGCATAAAAATAAAATCTATTACTCGAAACAGCACAAGACTTGCTTATTCTCTATAGGCGAAGCCCACTGCTACGGCATATACACGGCTCGCCTCAGCAAAGAAATGTGATTTCTTACTCAACCTCACCTATTTCACATAGCTTCTTTTTTTTGTTTTTCACATTTTTAATCGAACTGATTGGTTGGTTGGCATGATCTATTTACAGTGCTGCATTTGCAATGATCACACTCGGTAATGTGCAATTTCTGAGTCATATCAGCGGAAATTAACAATGCTCATCTCGCAGCGACTCGAGGGGGCATTTTGCGTGTAAAAATTAAGGAGGATTGGAAACCGAACGGTACTATTACAAGAGCAAATACAGTGATTAATACATCAGTCAATACATTTGCTGAAAAGTACAGTGAGGCCCGAATAACATCCAACGCAATATAATCACCACGGTTGCTCACTAAATGCCACAAAAAAAAAAGTGTATGTGTATATATATATATATATATATATATATATATATATTCTGAATTACAATGAATTCATATTAAACAGAAGGTAAGTGAAGCTATTCTCTTGCCACGGTGGTGACTACATGGCAAATGCCAAGTGACAACCCTTTTCTTTTTTGGCGTTTTGTAGTACAAGAGCTTTTAAAATGAACTAAAACTTTGCAAACCACTCTAACAAAAAGAGCAGTGCATTCTAATACTGGGTCCAAAATTATCCTCTTCCAACTACAGGCAATCATGTCAGCAGTGTACAATCAATGCTCATGGTGGGTCTCGTTGTAGTCCATGATTCTCAGATCCTGCTGCCTCCTCCGCTGAATATTATATGCCCGGGGTCTGTCCATGGGCTGCAGGTCAGCCTGCTCAGTAGCCTCTTCAAGCTCCACGCTCTCTGTGGGGTCTGTGATTGCCTCAACCTTAAGATCCTTAGAGAGGCAGGTGAAGGCAGCCGGCTCACCCTCATAGTGGCTTTCGCTCTTATTTCGAAACATCTCTCTGGCTCTCTTACCCAAAAAGCTTCCGGTACTGGGGTAAGAGCCAACTGCCAGCGGGGAGTCGCAGGGGAGGGCGGGAAATGAACGGGTAAGGGCAGAAAGATCTTCTTCCTGACTGCCATTAATGAGTGCTGTGGGTGTCTGAGGAGACCCGGCAGATATTTCACCATTGATAAACACGTGCATGCCTTCCTCTTTTTTCACGAGGTCGGCTGATAGAGACGGAGCAGATGGGCCTGTACTGTTGCCATTTGGCCTGAAACACAAATGGAAATAGAATTCTACTACACTTTCAACAACCCATCATC